TGAGGCAAGGTTAGGCTTATTATTAAAGAATATGGGTCAAAATGACAAAGCTGAAGAAATTTTTCAAACGTTACTTGATCATCGGATGGAGGACGAGGAGAAAGGAGCAATTTATCATGAACTTGCGATGATCAAAGATAAGCAAGCGAAATATCGTGAGGCGCTCAGCTTCTACGAAAAGTCTCTTGCTATTAAAGAGAAAATCTTTCCTCCGAATGATTTTCATTTAGCTGTTTCTTACAACAACATCGGTTTGGTCTATTTCAACATGAAAAATTATACAAAGGCGCTTTCATTCCATGAAAAAGCTCTCGCCATTCGACAACAATCCCTTCCTTCAAATCATCTGGATTTGGCCATGTCGTACAATAACATCGGTTTAGTGTATTCAAACACCAATCATTATTCGAAAGCACTTTCATATTACGAAAAAGCACTTGAAATTGCCCAACAATCACTTCCTTCTACTCATCCTCATTTAGCTGCATCCTATAACAACATTGGTTCGTTGCATGAAAGCATGCGTAACTATTCAAAAGCACTTCCGTATTACGAAAAATGTCTTGAGATCAAACAGCAATCACTTCCTTCAAGCCATCCTGATCTGGCTTTATCTTACAACAATATTGGATTGTTATACGAAAAGATGAAAGACTATCCAAAAGCCCGTTCATTCTTTGAACGTGCTGTGTTAACTGTACAACAATCATTACCTTCAAATCATCCTTGGTCGCGAGAAATGATCAGCAATTTTCGACGTCTAAAAGCGATACGATAATTCATGTTTATTCATTTTTCTATAACACAGAATCGATTGTATGTCATTAGTCGACACTGGCTCTGTGTCAGATGGTGTGAGGTTTGACTATATTACTAACAATAAAACGTACTCATGACCTCATTTGAGGGTGGGTGAATTCGAAGGATATAACGGATGAAATGACGCGGCGGTGAGAAAGAGGTCGATGAATGAATAGCTGGAGTGGAAAATTAATATCAGAGAAAGAGGAAAGTTTCATTATTTCTGAGGCAGAAATTAGCTTCAGTAACTTTTTGTATAAAAAGATATAGCCGAAACTGCCATTTTGTGCGATGCACGGCAGGAAAATAAGCACTGGAAGCGTAGAAATTTGAAATATACTGATTTTCTACCAGTTCTAGCTCTTCAACACGTGAGATATTCGACATAGATATTTTTTATTTGCAGCGGGTACTCCCTCTAGTGAATTAAAAGTAAAACTTGACGGGTCGATTGATCATAAACAGCTTGAATATCTTTTACTACTGTCGCATCGGGCGTTTTGAAAAAGACGTGTTTTATTCATCAGTTTACTTGTATAAGGATCTATATAAACTAAGAATATATCTTCATAGGTATACCCATGCTACCAAGTAGCCAAATCAAGTTTACTCTTGATATCATAAGTCATCGTACGAAAAGCATTTACATTGGGCATTAGATGAAATTCAGTAACGGTATCTTCTTTCTTTCCAACAAGATTTAAATACATTTTCATGAAGTATGCATAGACAAGGGGGTTTCTTCTCGTGTTCGAACTTCAACAATCCAATTTTCTTCAGCATTATATATGGCAAAACGGCCATCTGGTGATGCATATTTGTCGATATTTTGTTGAGTATACCGTCGAACTACATTCAATGTTGTTGTACTATATTCTTCAAGAATTAATGTCCCTCTTTCAACGTCACGTAATCCGAACAATCATTGCCGTTGAGGATCATGGAATAGATAAACGATTTGTCCATTATGTAAAATCCATTGACTTTGTTTGTATGTTTTCTTTTTCATATCAAACATGAACAGAAAGAAGTCTTCACACGCGATACCGCATTGAATTGACACATACATTAATGAAGGCGAAGTTCGAGTAGTCGCGACAGGGCCAGGAACAACGTACGAATTGATGGCTTGACTATCAACATGGTATGAAAAATTCGACAAGATCACCAACTTAGATGATGCTGGATAGAAAGATGCGATACTTCCATACAACGGACCACTAGAAAAGATATGGCATACGACGTGTTGGTAATCGATGAAATGTTACCCATAGTTATGACATGGTTTGAAACCATAATAGTTGGCCGTTTATGATAGATTTGTAATTTTACTACACAGGAAAATGAATTCAACGAATATACAATGCAACCGGTACGTGATGGTGGAAGAAAAAAGAATGACACCTATTCGCACGCTCTTATTCCGATTCTTATCATCATTAAAAATGCTTGTAATTATGAAAATAACAAATCCTTTCCATTTAGTAGGTCGCTTTGACAAGGCATACGAACAGGCATCAAGTGGATAACTAGCTTTAATTCTGAATTCTTCATATCACTACCAGATATATGCTGATTACACTGCTTTTTAACTCTTAGGTCGTACATGTTTAGATATAATAGCATTTCAATGTCATGACATTGTTGAAATTAGGGGACTGACTATATTTAACATATTATTTCGACAGGGTGAAATTATTTTTGCAAGAAAAATTCTGAAAAGAACCACAAGTTGGAAAGTCATAAAAGAAAACTATTAATATGATCTTTTTACGTCGTTCTATTAAAACATGAAAAATGTTTCTTATACAAAAGAACCCGTGATGACACAAAGCCAAAAATGCAGAAGATAACGGCAATAGAAACGTTAAAATAGCAGCCCACCTCTCTTTGTAAAAATTTTGTGTTCATTTGATCAAACTATATCGCAAGGTCAGCTCAATTTCATCGCGTATTCCTTAAAACTGTTTTCATCTACTATATGGTCTCATTGGCCGAAATCACCTCTCATCTAATTCGTTTCGGTTACGTTATCATGTTGATCCTCGGGATAACAGGGCATTTATTAAACATCCTTACATTTCTATCAAAAGATTTCGGGAAAAATGTTTGCGTATTCTATATGATATGTTCCACTATACTTGATTTATTCGCTATCAACGGTGGTATTATACCTATCGTCTTAATCGATTATGCTGCATATAACATACCAAATGCAAATCGTTTTACATGCAAAATATATTATCATGTCGTGTTCTTATTTTGGCCCGCAATGGCATCAACTTGTCTCTTTTTAATGACATTTGATCGTTGTCTGTCAACATCGCGAAATGTTCGTTGGCGGCGGCTTAGTTCGATACCATTCGCTAGACGTCTTTTCACCGTCACACTGCTTTTTCTTTTCGTTTCAAGTGCCTTTTGCTGGATTGTTTATGATCTTTCTGATGGTATCTGTACAACAACATCTAGTACTGCAGCAATGGCTGTCGTTGTTTATGGTAACATTTTCATTTCTCTCATTCCTCATGGAGGAATGATAATCTGTAGTATTGTCGCATGGATTCATATACGACAATTGGCACACCGCATCAACCCAAATACCACTTCAAATAATGAAAGCTCTGCTGTTCAGAGAATGAATCGTCAATTATTTATTCTAATATTTGTACAAGCTGGTGTCGCAGTTATATTAGAATTTCAACGTAACATCGTAGCGACCTACAGTTTGATCACTAGCTCAATGCAGAAGAGCATTGAACATCAACAGATTGAATATCTCATTACTCATGTGAGCATTATACTTTATACTATAAAATACAGCTTTTCATTCTACTTGAATTACATGTGTAGCAGTATGTTCCGCAAGACATTTCATAAATGTGTGAAATCATTGGTACAACGATGCTTTCGGTTCGATCAGCATAATTAAGCTCAAGACTAAATCGATAAACACACTGCGTTTTTTCTTCTACTTATTTAACCACATCCGTTGTATCGTTTTCTCAATGTTGTGTCTTTTACTCACAATTTCTATCTCGATCTGCTGTGGTAATAAATTTTGAAGAAGTTTCATTCTTTGTCAAATATTTTTAATCTCATTTAAAATCCGATCAAACTGCCAGTTTCAAGCCAAGGGGGATAGTGCGAACTAGGTCTCGGTCGGCAGCCGAAGTGCTTGCACTTCCCCACTGGTAAAACTGTACTAATTACAAGGGGGAACAAGCGGACTTCTATATTTCCGTAGTACAAAAGTCCCATGAAGTCACGAGAAGTACGGAAGAATTGTAGATATATATATATTGATTTGCTTACAGATTTCTGTATATTTCTTTATGAAGAAACGGGAAATAATGAAACAAATTAAAGACGACCGTTATCATCTTTACGGCTTGACTGAATGACTCGAGAAATCTTCGTGGTCAGCAATGCTGTCATCACTTATTTGTTCATAATCATTAAGTTGGTTGATATGACTATCGTTGTCATGGTATGTATTGAAAACGTCGAACGAAGAAATGTCAAAGGAAAAGATGTCGAACGAGTAGAACCTTTCGAATAAAAGAAAAAAAATGTGTTAGGTAGCAGATGATAGAATATTTATTTTAGCGAAAAAAAAAGTCGAATATATTTATGAGTAATGAGAAAGTGAGATAAAAAATTAGACAGTTAATTGACGTATAGATGCTTGCTCATTACGAAGTTCATCTTCGGTTTGAGATGAGGAAAGAAAAATTATTTAATAATTCTTCGGCATCTATGTCGTTATTGTTGTAGCGTACCATCAGATTATCGATTCGCTGTTGAACACGATTAGCACCATTTGAACTTGCTCGACGCTTATCACCTGTAGTAATTTGTATATATAAGTGTTGAAATCTAGTTTCCTCGCCCAGAATACACCGGATAAAGGACCATATGTGCGCGTTCGATTCGTCGATTTAGTCTGCTATGAAAGCCTAAAATGTAAATATTTCCATGCTATTGTCATGAAAAAAGGAAATGTGTATACCTTCGCAAATATTATTCGTTCTGTAAGGACAATTGCGAACGTTCCACATCTGAACTGGTATAGTATTAATCCAATAATTATCAAAATACATAAATAAACCTCGAAGTTGTTTTTTCACTGTCGAATCCACTGTTGTACGTAAATGATAGAATGAGCTTTCGACTTTGTCAACAGGTAAGAGCGCCAAGGCCATCAATTTGCGGCAGTAATTGCGAACTAATTCATCGTTTGAATAGGCTGCTGCTAAACCGAGAGATTGAATGCGACGATAGAGACTGTGCTGATAACGAAAGAAACAACAAGAATGGATACTTTCAGGAAACTAAAACAAAAAAACGATGCTTTTATAGAAAAACGATAAATTGTACCTTGGTCGATATTGCGGGAATTAAACCGACTTCAAAGTCAGGCATGATTCGCTCAGGTTTCCATACAATACCCAGAGATACAGCGATAGAATTTAATTCTTGAAATAATTCCTGATAAGTCAATTTTTTCGATCCGGTAATAGAGCAAATCGGCTTGTCCACGTAAAGTGACACTTCAGACATTAAATATTTATTTCTTATCTGACACCAGACGTTTATGCCATGTTGTAGAGTATATTCGAAAGTGTATTAAAAATTATTTTTGCATTCCAAAGGTTGTATTTGAATGCCTTAAAAAATACCTGCATTAAACCTGAATTTGCCTAACGTTATCCACAGTTTTTTGACTGTTGTTTAGAAAACAACCATCCACGTTAGTGAAAAGACCTAAACCTGTTATCTCAGATTTACTTTAAAGTACCACGCATGATCTTTCTTTTGATGAAAGAATGAACTCTTGATCTCTCCTTTTCAATGAGATAATCTATATACAATACTTGATCAAAGCTGATGTCACACCGTTACGAAAACTCATAATTATTCGTTTTATACCGGTCTTTTCAGAAATACCAATGAAGAAAGTAGTGGAGTATTACTAAATTTTGATGACAATTCTTATGGTACTGTTTCTTTCGGAAAAATGTTTTGCTTGAAAAGATATAAACGTAACGGTGTGACAAAAAGTTACCGTTTTCCGCTATTTTTAGCTAATATGATTTAACAATAACTGTTATAAAATCAATGCGAGATGGCTTCTAGGTGCCAATATAAGCGGTTTAACCTTCAATTTACTAATCAGTCTGTAAATCTTTCAAACAAAAGGCTCATTTTTATACGGAATCTCAAAATTTTCGACTATAATCATACATGACCAGTGGAATAATATACTTCTAATCAACATCACTTTTCGCATTGTAGTATTATAAGCTGACGTTATGAATAATTGAATAGCCTTTAAAATGAACATCAGATACTTGCAACGAATAGTCTATTTTCCTTTTTCTTTCCTCCATCGTCCGTCTATAATGTTCAATAAGTTATTCAATCAATGAACATTATTTTTTTTTCTTTCCTTTCTCTCCTCGTCCGTCTGTGACGATCAATAAACCGTTTAGTCCATTCAATCGCATTTTTTTCTTTTCATTCCGTCAGCCTTGTATATACAACTCGACATATATAAATAGTCTAGGAAAAACGTTAGATTCGGTTCCATCTCTGTACCACAATCAGTATTGCAAATTTTTCTGCGGTGATATTGATATGGCTATGACAAATGCTCAACGAATGAAAAAATATCAAGAAAAAATAAAAAAAGATAAAGTTAAATATGAACAAACTAAAGCTAAAGATCGTCTTAGATATCAGACAAAAAAACAAAACATGACAGAAACAAGCTTAGCTAAACTTCGCACCGACAGCAAGCGTCGTCAACAAAAATGCCGAAAAAATAAAGACAGACATCTGCTTAATAAACCTCCACCAAGTTCATATAAAAGTCGACAATCATTTGGCAAAGCAATGAAAAAAGTTAATTCTTCACTTCCGAAATGTGATGAAAAGAAAAAAAGTTATTGTTCAGCATCTAGCTGAGACTTTGGGCTTAGTTTCTAAACCCAAACAACAACGTACTACAGTTCAACTAGCTAATCAACTTAAAATTGACGTTTACAATTTCTATTTGAGAGATGATATTTCTTATCAACTACCAGGAAAAAGAGATACAATTGTTGTTAAAGAAGACGATGGTAGTAAAAAAACTTACCAAAAACGAATTTTATTTAATAACTTACGTGAAACTTATAAATTATTTAAAGAAGAACATCATACTGTCGATATTGGCCGATCTTCATTTGCTACATTGAAACCACCATATGTTGTACCTAAAGCTGCTTTAGCTCACAGAAATTGTTTATGTTTATATCATGAGAATATTTGTTTACTTTTAAAATCTCGTGATAAATACGTTACTAGCAAATGCTGTTCCTCTTTGGAAACTTTTACGAATAGTTTAGTTTGTAGTACCAATAATGAAGAGTGTATGTTTAGTAGTTGCACACTCTGCGAAGACTTTTTTACCGAAAAAATTGAAGAAAACATGGCAAATAATAACATTATTATTAATTGGTCACAATGGGTCAACGAAAATAGTCGAGCTGAAAAAAAAGAATTTTCAGGAAATGTTGATGAAGCAGTTTTACTATTGAAGTCAAAAGTCGAATATTTTCTGTTTCATGTATATGTAAAGCGAGAGCAATCCAAATATTTCGAAAAGTTAAAGAGCGAAGTTAGTGATGAAAAAATAGTGATGCAGGTAGATTTTGCCGAGAATTTCAATATGAAAGAACAAGACGAGATTCAAAAAGCACACTGGAATACAAAGGCGTTGAGTATTTTTACTGCTTTTGTATGGTCAGCAAATGAAAATTTTTCTTTTGCTTTGCCATCTTCAGATTTAACACACGACAAATTTGTTGTTGATTCTGCTTTAAAAATCATATTAAATCATATCAAAAGAGTTCTTCCAAATGTTAAAGAGGTAAATGTTTTTTCAGATGGAGCAGCTTCTCAATTCAAACAACGTTTTCATTTTCGAAATCTGTCACAAATTGCTTCTGAACGAAAAATACATTTAAGTTGGCATTTTTTTGCAACTTCACATGGTAAGGGTGTTGTTGATGGAATTGGAGGTACTACAAAGCGGCTCGTGTGGTCAGCAATTTTGGGAGGAGGAGTATGTCGGTCTGCTCAGGATTTTATTAATCTTGCTAAGCAAAAAACTAAGAAAATAATTTTATTTGAAATCACCAGAAACGATACTGATGATTCGAAAAAGAAACTTGAAAAAATTTTTGAAACGGCAAAAACAGTACCAGAGACATTAAAAATGCATTCAGTTAATGTTGTTGATGAAAATACATTAGAATTTCGATATTTCTCAATCCGTTCTGAAAAAAAAACTATAACCTATTGATCAAATATAGTTGGATAAATTTTTAGTTCTACTTTGTTTACTTGTTAAATTTATTTCTAGATATTAGGCAAAAATGGAAAAAATACTATTAGCGAGGAATTTGTAAATAAGATTAGACAAAGAAAAGAAGAAAAAAAAATCTAGCTCGAAAGAGGCCGGGTCTTCGTCCCGGGCTGGAGAAACACTGGAGTGGAGATGCTTGCGTTTACACTCCAGTGGCTAAGAGCCTCTAAATATGTGTCAAAAGTGAGATGTACTCTTTATCAAGATAAAAGACACAAAAGATCGATGAACAAAAGGAAGGTATTGATAAACACTTATGTTATCTGTCGACAGCAGAGGTATAGAAATGTTTATTTTAGCGGTCAGATGCATGTCAAAATAAATTAGGATCGAATAAAAAGACAATAATGACTTTTCGAAAAAAAGTGTCACACCGTTACGTTTGTATTTTGGCATTTATTACCTCATAAAAGAAGATAGGAGAATTTTCTTTTCACCATCGTGTAGCGCGTAAAAAGCTCTATAAAACTGGTTATTACCAATCTACATTTATATTTTAAGTTTCGCAGGAAATCAAGGATTAATCATGGGCACTCGAGGTTGAGGGTCCTTTTGTGTCACACCGTTACGCGACCTAAGAATCTTCCTGGAAAATCGAGTGATTGATGGAAATCATTCATTTTTATAGTGAACATAGAGTATCCCAAGCTACATCGAATGACGTTTGAACGAGCTCTCTAGCGTTTATAGTTTTTGAGATATTGGGGAAATCGTGTGTCAAAATGTCACACCGTTACGCTTGGACAAGCCGATAAACACTTCGTACGTTACAGCTGACCACCGTGTACAGAGCATTAATTTCGTATAATTCCGAATATGTGTTGTTTTTGCACACACCTTTGATAGCTATATCCAAGTGACCAATGACGGAAGCAAACATACTCGAATAATACGTTTCATTCGTAATGAGCTCGACTATAGTGCGGACTAGAAATCCAAAAAAATTTTCATGAAGAAGTGCACTATTGAAACATCAGTACCTCTTAACTCGCTGGTTGTCATCACAGAATTGTTCATCAAAAGAAGAACAGAATGATAGAGACATCTACTGGGATAAGATGATGAACGTCAACGGATGCTTTTTTCAAACGTTCTCTTGCCACGATATCGATCACATGAATCCTTTCATCAAAAGAATCGTTCGGAAAAAAAGTCTAGCAGCATCATGAACACATCAATCTAAATTGTAAAAACATCCTTTCAACGACACGAAACTCAAATAAATTTCTACCATTTTGATTCGATCAACAGCATAATGAAGAACATCAAGATACAAATCACCTTGTGTGCATTCTTCTAAATATTGGAGCAGTTGACTAAACTTCTGACCACGACTCATACGATCGCAGGATGAGAAACAATCATTTGTCGATTCCCTTTCACAAAATAAACACCCGACCATTATTACTTCGTTGAATAGTAGCAACAAAAATTTACGTTATCTAAAACAAACAGCAGCCCGATATTACATCAATATTTTACTATTCACCGTACTACAACGCGATTAACAATCCCCTGTATCATTCATTCCTCTTACAGATATACATAGAACCTATGAAAAAAATACAGCGCATCTACATCCATTTCCGAATACAACCTACGAACGACAATTCTTTCAACGCAGAATCACTGCACAAAGTATTTTCGGTTTTATCTGCATTTTCTAGCACACGCCATCACAATGAGCTGGTAGAATTCGTTTGCCACCACACGATCCATATGTACGAATACCAAGAATAGTGCACACAATTTATGTCCAATCGGAGCAACAACACGAACCAGAGATGGTCGACATCGTTTCAAATGAACAGATGTGCTGGTGGATGTTATTGGAATCATCTAAACGATCGAATTTCACTTTTTCATGTCAGCTTTGCAATGTCTGTTCCATCATGTAACTTAGAGAGAGAGAACACACTTTTCCGCGAACGATTTTTGCTTGTTTCCGTTCAATCGGCTGAGCAATATGGAATCGGTAGTTATGAGAGTAGTTGGAGAAAATTTCGGGGAAATGATGGTTTTCGTGTTTTCGCTTAAATTTTTTGTATGCTATGTATGTGTTGTGCATTATTGTTGGGATTTGTTCTAGGAAGTTTTCCTGGGGTAATTTCTTTCAAGTATGTTGTGATTTTGGAGTCTGTTGTTTGACATTTTAGTGCTGACTGCTGCTGCTTTAGGTATGTTATGGGAGGCTCCCACGGTGTTTCAAGTTTGGGCATTGTTGTGGTAGACGAAAAGAGAAGAGCTGGTTTGTTGAAAAAAACATACAAGGAAGTGTTTAAATGATTTTTACACTAAGATATGTTTATTTTTTAAGCTGTTTTGTGCATCATTGAGGTTGGCTGTGTGAGGACAGGTGATGGTGGATGATTTTGTTGAAATCGGCAGCGTTGGGGGCATTCTCTTGGGCTACATTGTTCATGTAGGGAACAAATGCAGGGACCTGTTTAATGAGAAAAGGTTTGTATGAGATTTCATTATTCTAAGTGTTTTAGCAATGTGCTTACAGTGTCACGGATGAGGAAGTTCGTCTGGACTGTATCGCATTGTGGGACCCAAAGGTCGCAAAAAATTGGGGGCCAAAGTGAAGTTTATTGCTGTTCTTCATGCTGTTGATGTACTCGGGACTAAAAGCCATGATAATTGTTGTGTAGAGTGCGAAATGTGAAGATTTGGTTGAAAGAAGTGGGAATGGTAAGAAAGAGTGGAGCTTTTCTCTCTCTCTATTTATAGATTCATCTCTCTTGTGCCTAATTATTCCTGCTTTCCTTCCCGTATCAGAACAAATAAACAGTTTAGATTGGCATGGATCAGCTCGGACACTGTATGGGAAGCAGAGAGTTTATTCGTTGACAATGTTTTTTTTTCAATTGTCGGGATGTCTACTTTGAAATGTAATTGTCAGTTTTGAGCTTATCCTTGTTAGCGATCACGTATCGCTCTTCTCTTCCATTTTGAAAAAATGTTATTGCAGATAATATTCTTTCTCTTTTCGTTGGGGGATCACTTGTTCTTTCAACTCGAATAAACATAGTTCTTCTCGTTGAGTCTCTCCTTTTCCTTGATGGTGGATTTGATTTGGATATAGAGAGCTCACAAGCTCCGACATTACTTTCAGATAACCCTAAGTAGTTTGAGGTGGAATCACATTTTTTTATATTTATTCATCTGATGATCTTACAGATGACAAATACTTTGTATGTAATAGTACATGCGTCATCTATTCTGACAAATTTTCTTTCTATGTTTTGTCTCACGTTCTGTTAACGCTTTTTTTTCTTTATCGAAGCGTACAGCTCACGGCAAATATTCTTCGTTTGTCACGCAGTCTAACCTGTGTTTACATCGTGAACGGTAAGTAGAAGTACGCGTTTGAAAGAAAAACAACTGACAATGCTTACTAATGAGACACTTCTTAAAACTTGTCCACTCTATGGAAATTTCTAATGTTCTCACTGTAAACGACGATGGAAGAGTACCAAAGCATGGGATAATCATGGTCAAAATTGTAGAGAATGTGATACATTAGTTTATCCAACGAATCTTTCCAATAATTTTGTCTATATTTGTGACAATTGTCACATCATGTGGCATTCATGTCATTCCAATTCAGGGTTATTATGCCGAAACTGCAATTCATCGACATTAAGTCATTCACGAGATCCTGATGACTGGGAAGATCTAAAGTTTATTGAGATGCACAAATCACAGTATAAAGATGTATTGAATGCTATGAATCCAAATGGAACACATAATGAAAGTTTGTGTCAGAAGTGTCGTGAAATGGGACGATCTTGCCGTGCAACTGAAAATGATGAATTAGAAACATTAATAAATCGTCCATTCAGCGAAGATGATAGCGAGGATGACATGATTTTCACAACAGTAAGTATTGTGTTTTGCATAATAATGTTTTTGTCGCACCGAAAAATATCCTTGCATAAAAACAAGCACATTGGCACATAGGGGACTAAAGATAAACAGTAGTAATCTCCTTTATCACTATTTTTTTCAAAATTCCATAATCCTGAAAAGATGACTTTGAGCGTTTCCCGGCATTGTGTTATGTGAAATCTTTTTTTTCAGAATAATCGCCGACCACCGAATATCTCGCGAGAAGACGAATACAAACCTCTAATTCGAAATTATCATGTATGTGCTAGTCGTCCTCAAGTAGAATATGCCAATACGACCGTCGGCATTCACCCACAAAACATACAACAGCGTGAACAATCTCAAAGATCGAAGATCTTCATAAGACGTCTTTTGTGTATTGTGTTACTAGCAATTTTGCTAATGACATTATTTAGCCTACTGTTTAATATACCCAAGTCCGTGTTGAGCACAACGACAACAACAACAACAAGTACTACTACTACTACTACTACTATAACTACAACTACAACAGCTAGAACTACAACTACACCATGTTTTTCTTCAAAAACGATGGTCACACTTGAAAGTGGGATTCAAGTTCCTTTGCACAATCTACAAGTAGGAGAACAAGTTCGCATCGATTCTCACAAGTCAAGTGCTGTCTTAGCAATTTTTCGTCATTATCGTTCATCGATTTTATTTATGGAAATATATTTCAACGAAAATCGAAGTCAACCACTTCGTCTAACACCAACACATTCTGTACTTGTGCGTGGATCTCATGATGAAAGCGAACAATATCGTTTTGCTCGTGATATTTCAGCCGGAGACTTTGTTTATTCCACTTTACTTCATCAAATGGTTAAGGTGATTAAAATACGAGAAAGTACGAATGTTGATGATTATGCTTATGCTCCATTGACATTTGAGGGAAGAATTGTAACAAATAATATTATTGCTTCATGTTACGCAACATATCCTCATTGGTTGATGCATATAATAACGACACCACTTCGTTGGTGGTATTGGCTTTTAATTGAATTAGAACAAGCCTATTTGCATGCATTGAGCACATCATTTTGTGTACAATGTGTCGACTGGTATTTACAATTCTTTCTTGTTGCAACTACTTTTATTGCTTGACAATTAACAACAATATTAACTTGTAGTTACAGTTATATCCTTATAATACATCTAATAAGATTTGGAACTATATTTCTCACATTGTAGTATGTCTTCTCGCAGTATTGTTTGATAATAATAATAAAGCATTCATAGAAGACTTATTTTTTGAAAAAAAGATTTGATTTGATTTTCTTTTCTTTTCAATTATTTCTTTGTAATAATGCTAGTTGTCCCTGTTCTTTATTCCAGTGAGTAATACTAGCATGAAGAGCATCCCAATCAAAGCTTGTTGGAAAGCGATGGGTTGTACTGGATATGGTGGCAATATCCATATACAGTGGCCGTCAAAATTATCCAACAGGCCTTCCTTTTCATTTTTCTCGGCTTAGGAAAATGTTAGAGAATATTCCAAAAAACCTTTCGAAAGCGAAAACTGTTACCAGTAAATCTGCGGTGGAAAAACTTTTCTGCTGGGTTTCCCAAAAACAGAACACACAAAATACGAAAAGTATGGTTTTTCAAACCGCAGAAGGCGCCAAAAGTTTTTTTTGCTTCCAAGAAGGTGCCGTAGGAGCGCGAAAAATTCTCTACAAAATGAGATCTCACCCAACTCTGTACGACTTTCGCTTGCGGAGATATAGCGATTAAAAAATAGGCAAACGCTGTATTTTTTCCCATTTTCTAGCGAAAAGTCACTTTTTTGCCTTTTTTGTAATCGCTGTTGTAACGACAAACTGGTTGAGTAGCTGACCGCTTCTCACGGTATCGATGTTTATTGACTACTCTACATGACCAGAATGTATCTCTTTCACAATAAGATACGTGCTTATATAG